TGGACTGGTTGACAGACAGGAAACAAAGAGTAGGAATAAATGGGTCTTTTATACAAGTGGCAGCCAGTGACTAGTAGGGTGCTACATGGATCAGCACTTGGACCCCAGCATTTCATAATATACATTCATGATTTAGATAAAGGAGCTAAATATAACAACTGATGACACAAAGCTGGGCGGAAGGGTGTACTGTGAGGAGATTGCAGAGATGCCTTAATGTGATTTGAACAAGATGTGGAGGTGCCAGTGTTAGATTGGGGTGGACAAAGTCAGAAATCACACGACACCAAGTTATAGTCCAACAGGTTTATTTGAAATCAGAGACAGTAGGAACTGCAGATGCTGGAGAATCCGAGACAACAAGGTGCAGGGCTGGATGAACACAGCAGGCCAAGCAACATCATAGGAGCAGAGAGGCTGACGTTTCGGGCCTAGACCCTTCATCAGAAAAGGGGGAGGGGAAGGCGGTTCTGAAATAAATAGGGAGAGAGTGGGAGGCGGATAGAAGATGGATAGAGGAGAGGATAGGTGGAGAGGAAACAAACAGGTCGAAGAGGCAGGGATGGAGCCAGTAAAGGTGAGTGTAGGTGGGGAGTTAGGAAGGGGATAGGTCAGTCCAGGGAGGACGGACAGGTCAAGGGGGCGGGATGAGGTTGGTCGGTAGGAGATGGAGGTGCGGCTTGTGGTGGGAGGAGGGGATAGGTGGGAGGAAGAATAGGTTAGGCTCTTTATTTGAAATCACAAGCTTTTGGACCCTCAGTCCTCCTTCAGGTGTTAGTGTGGTGGTACCAGACACAGAATTTATAGGTAAAAGATCAAAGGGTCACACCACTGATGAGGATATGTTAAATAAACCTAAGATGCTGTTAAACCTTTAATCAGGTAGAAGGTTTTAATTGATTATTATGTATATGTAAATCCACAAATTCCTTTCAAGTCATGGCCTTGAGAGAACTAAAGGTTTTATCAGTGTAAAGAAGCGGTGACATGTTAGGTCAAACAATGCCTGTTAGGTGTGAGGCCTTGCTTAGAATCTGGTTGTGTTTTGGTTTGGAGTCAGATTGGTTTTATTTCTAAAGTAGGAAATTACAAGATGCCACATTTACTGACTGTCTATAAATTGTTTGCTTTTTAAACAAAACAGAATGTATCTGCAAATACAAATTCACCCCATAGATTCACGTGTGTGTGTGTGTGTGTGTGTGTGTCCATCTCACACACACACACACACACACACACACACACACAGAGGTGAATCTACGGGGTAAATTTGTATTTGCCATTGATCTTTTACTTATAAATTTTGTCTCTGATACCATCTTACTAATACCTGAAGAAGGAGCAAGGCTCCAAAAGCTTGTGTTTTCAAATAAACCTGTTAGACTATAACCTGGTGTTGAGTGATTTGAACAAGTTGAATGAGAGGGCAAATCCATGGCAGATGAAGCATAATGTGGATAAATGTGAGGTTATCCACATTGGTAGCAAAAGCAGAAAGGCAAGTTATTATCTGAATGGTGATAGATTGGCTGGTACAAGGAGACCTGGGTGTTCTTATATATGAGTCACTGAAAGTAAGAATGCAGGTGGAGAAGAAGGCAAATATTGTGTTGGCCTTCATAGCAAGAGGATCGAATACGGGAGCATGGACGTCTTGCTGCAATTGTGCAGGGCCTTGGTGAGACCACAGCCAGAGTATTGTAAAACAATAAGACGCAAGAGCAGAAGGAGTGCAACAAAAGTTTACTAGGCTGATTCCTGGGATGGCAGGACTGACGTGAGAAGAGCTTGAGGGATCAGTTAGGACTATATTCTCTCCCAAAACTATGTCCTTACTTTCCACCTCTGGCCTCTACATTGAACAGATCACCCAGTGCTATTTCCATCTTCTCCATTGTGATGGATCCACCAAACACATTTTTTTCTCAAGAATTCGCAAGGGACCTTTCCCTCAGCAACAACCTGATCCATTCCTCAATCACTCCCTGCCTTCCCACTGTACTTTATCATGGAAACACAGGAAATGCCATCAATGAACATGGGGATCATGCACAGAGATGGACATCATCCAGGATCTGCTTGAACAGCAGAGCAGGCTCAATGCGTTGAATGGCCAACTCCTGCTCCTATTTCCTGCATTCCTACGAAATGCAACCCTTTTTATATCCACTTAACTCAGGGGCCTCATGTACTCTTTCCAATTGAAACAGTAATTTCCTTGTCCTTTCTCCAATTCAGAATCTAATATTCGCCATCATGATTGGTCTCCTCTACATGAGGGGAAATTAGACACGAGCTTGAGTGAGGAACTCCATTCTGTCTACAAGCTTCACCCTGAGCTTCCAATTGCTTCTTATTTTGAATTTCTGAGCCATTCCCATTCATCTTACTTGTCATCTTACCCTGTTCCAATGAAGCTCAATGTAAACTCCAGGAACAGAATCTCACCCTTGATTAGGCAATCTAGCCTTCCAAACACAAACAAACCTAAATCATAGCTCTATCTCCAATCATTTCAGCAGAAGTTGCTGGTTGTAATTCTCCTTGCCGTTTGAACCTTTTCCTGTCCCAAATTTTGTCCCTTCATCTTGTTACATTACGATCTTTCTTTTTGCCTTCCATCATCAACCCTTTGGTAATTCAGTCTCTCCTGACTTTCACCATATCAAATATTCTTGCTCAGGTTTCCATGTGCTAAGCAGCCTGGAAAGTCTCTGACAGGCTTTCTTCCCATGACATGCTGTGTTTGACCAAGTGGGCTAACAAAATCTAAAGGGATTGCAGATTAAAAACACATTTGCAAACTACATTGAAATTTTACAGGAAACAGCTTTTGAATCCTGTAATGAAGGCCACTAACTGATCAGAAACCTCAAGCAAGCAGAGAATAGAATGTTCAGACACATTTTCCTTTTCATTGTGGAGTTTCAAATAGATCAGAAGCAGGTGAAATGGCAGGGAAATAAAAGAACTCTTGAAATGTTGCTGCAGATGAGGGCCTTTTTTGAATCTGAAGATGGGAAAGCTGATTAAGGAAGTGTACAGCTACAGTTAGAGCTGGGAGAAAGTGAGCCAGCAGTCAGCATCGTTAATACAGGAACAGCCCGCCTTGACCAAGTGTTAGAATTAATTTACGAGTGTTTTGAAGTCTCTTTCTGAATTGACACCTTAGAAGATACACAAACACATGAATGAAGAAGTTATAAATGATTTTAACTCCAATCATTATTTCGATTCCCTGAGCTACATTCTGTTTTCATTGTATTTGCCGCATGCTTCCTGTTTCTAAAATATAATAGAGTGACTGAAGAATCAAACAGAGTAACCCACATTACAAAATTCAGGCGGTGAGTCAAGGGCTAGGTAATGATCATCCCAACAGAAAGAACTCTGCCACCTGGTACACTACCTCACACACCAGACAATTATTTACGTAGGGGGATTACGATAGTATTCTATACCACACTCCAACCAGCAAATAAAACCTATCCCACTAGGAGGAGCTCTGGAGCAGTCCACAAAAACCACTCAAACCCTATTCATCAGAAGGGGCTCCATAGAAACTGCATAATACATTTCATTTCAGTATTTATTACATGCAAAAAATATTAAAAATAAACTTTATTGGAATGACACAGCAGCACTGCAACTGATAATCATTGAGAACGAAAATATATAACAAATGTAACAAGTAAAAACCCTCCATTAATGCAATGAAATGGAAAGCAGAAAAGCCCACAGTAAATACATAATCTAATGGTAGTAATGATGCATAGGAGGGTACCTATTGTGGATTTTAGATCACCAGTGTTTATTGCAGGATTCATCTTCACCTTGTGCCAAAAATAAAAACCTATAATAAAGAGCACACGTTTGAGTTCATTGTGTCTAACAAACCAGTGTCCTGGATCCCTCATTGTTACCCTGTCCGTCATCTGTTCTGTTTCTGCTGTTTAAGCACCAGATATACTAATGAACAAGACTTTCTTAAATGTTTGCAGTTCTTTAGAAAATGAACTTTCCTATTATGTCCTTGTCCAGTACGTTATCTTTAAAGAGCATCCCTAATATAAGCTATCTAACGAGTACTACCACATTAAGTGTTAGGAGTCAAATGCTGCATTTCAACATGCCATTAGTTTCCGTATCTGCTAACTACTTGGAGCATTAACTTCATGCATCTTTCAAAGTACTTGTCTTCCAGTTTGTAGGCATCAAAGTAACCGGATTACAGAGCAAGTTGTGTTCAACATCATTGCACTAAAAATATTGAACATTTCTCATCTAACAGAGCATATTAACTCTGAGCATAGCACATCTGCAAAAGCTCGATTCACAGCCCTGCATTAACTTGGATTGTTTATAATAACAATTCATGTTGAATGACATCAAGCCACTTCAATTACCAATAGTTGTGTTTCATTGAAGATTCCACATAAAGAGGGCCATGTACAATAAAAAGTCCAATTTTCAATCAGAAGTTAAATTGGACTCTATATTAAATACAATTCAAAGTTTTGCCTCCCAATGTGCTGAACCTAGTTTTTGTATGCTGAATGTCTGAGGGCTCTGGCTATTTCAATACAATTTTCAACAAAGGTAAACATATCAATAATTGACAAGAGAACGCTTTAGTGTTCCCAATCAGACCCCAGTTTTCATTTTTTTTTTCATTCTTCCTTTTGGTTACTCTACTGAGATACAGTTGCAACTGGTCATTCCTCCTGTTTGAACCGAGCCAACCAGTATCTATGGGCTTCTTGGTGCCTTCCCCTGTCCACATCGTTTGCTCAAACAGTGCATCATCAGCTTCATGGCAATCAGAAACAGGGATTAAAGCCAACATTTCCCTCCCTAGAGCATGGGCACTGATGCCAGTTGCAGCACTGCATAACATCCCAACTGAGTCCGGCTAGCCTACATGAGGCCAAATACTCTCAGCACCATAATAACATGATTATTTTGAAACAGACATATCTAGTGACGTAAAGCTTCCTTACCTCTTACAGTGATTGTACTTGACTTTTTGGCAGGGTTGCCCACATTGTTGTTAGCAAGGCAGCTGTAAGCTCCGGCCTCCTCAGCATTGATTGAGTGCAACGTTAATGTCCCTCCCTTCAAGACACTTGTTTTAGGAAGAGGTCCAATGGCCTTGATCCAGGTTAGGGTGGGAGGGGGGTCTCCTCCAGTCGTGACGCACACCATCGAAAGTGAATCCCCAGGGTTTACTACAATATGCTCAGGAACCAACAACTTGATGGAAGGGGAAGCTGTAAGGAACAAAAGTAGTGGAAGAATTATAAACACAGATGTTTGCTCATGTTTTATCATGTTTGCAAAGAACACACCTTTACCAGAAAATTAAAATTTTATGTGATGACACACAGCTTAGTAAATGGCCAGTAATTAGATGGTCATTCATTAAAACAAAGGAAATATTTCTATGGCCTGTGGTACATTCAACATAAAGGTATTATTAGTGAGAAAAAAATTAAAATAGTTCATTTAAATTTTGAATTCTAATATTGAACAATCAGTAACATTAAGATCTGCAAAGCCAATTTGTAGCTTGTCAGCGGAACCATTTACTGACATTCCTGGTCATTCATGTCAAAGCAGCATCTCTTGCCATCTGTGGACACTCAAATGAACCACCTCTATTGTTGAAAGGAGGGAATCCACTTAAAATGGGATCATTTATTCATCAGGTAAGTCTGGTTTTAATAATGCTTCGTAACTATTGTGTGGGAGTATGTTGTTTCACCGAAAGTCCCATTGTATATATAGTACATTTTTTATTTACTTTTTAAGGCAGTACGTACTGTTATTTCACACATTCTCCATTCATGCGACATTTTAACATAAAACAAGGGCAGCATGCATTACAGTCTACGGGCACCATGCAGGTCTATCTTGATCCATTAGATGACTCTGAAGCGGTTTGACAAAAATATTGATCTCCTGCTGTTTGATGGGCACACAACCTCATGAGTGCAAGTTGAATGTCAGGATCTTGGATTTTAGGTTTACATAACCTACTATAAACTAAACTCAATAGTTCTACACCCATTTCGTGGTCCATCACAATTTAAGTCCTGTTTAGTGTGGGAAGCATTAAAATGAAAGTTCTTGCCCTTCTGAGATTAAAGTGACTGATTGACAATTTCCATGCAGTCTACATAAATACCTTGGCTGTCAATCATGATCGTATTTCAAAGCATATCAGGGAACAAGTCTTAAGACTAATCGTTTATCTCGGATACTCTCTGTAAGCGGGGTGTATAAAAGGGTGTTTCGGTGCAGGAGTGGCAAACTGTGTTGCAAATGACATTTTAAAACCCTGTGTGGCAAAGCTAATTATCTCGCTTTGTAAATATTTCCTCAATGTTCAAGATTGATTTTAGTAAGAACAATAATGGGCTCATTCAGTGGGAATCACCTGGAAATCGCTGGTTTGAAGCATGGTGGTCTCTGTCTATTTTTAGTCCTGATTTCTCAGTGGAGTGTTCTGGACCTGCAGGGAGTGCATGTCATTATTCATCTTTCCCATTGGTAATAATCAAGCCGGCTGGTGCATGTGGCATATGAAGGTCATTGTGCCTGAAGCGGCAGCTTGTTTTCCTACCGATAATGTTTCTGCACAGAGGCTCATAGAAAGATATTACGTGTCAGTAACTCATCCTAGTTTAGCATATTCATTGTACTACAGTAGCTGCTTTTCACCAGCCATGGAGGCAAAGTCAATAGGCTAGACATCATACTCCACTTATTGAGAGCAATTGGTTCCTAGAAACAACAAAAATATCCCAGACGCCATATGCAGTTTAAAGACTATTACATGACCAACAAGATAAAATTGTGACATGAATTTTCATTAATACTAAAATCTTTGTCAGGAATAGGCACAACCAGTGCTACAATCCCATCACTGTGTAGCAGTGAATTCACTTCAAATGTACTGTACATGATTGACTGTAAAGCAATTTGGAACACACTGGGATCATGAAAGGATCTGTCTGATGCAAATTCTTCTGTTTTTATCTCCCTTTATTTATTGTAGCACCACGGATTTTATCTATTCCTGTTTTCCAAGCTGCTGATTAGTCAAGTATAAAGTTGAATCAATCCAGATGTTACACCATACAACTCATTTTCACAGCAATACAATGAGGAAACAAAGCTTGGAGATGACTCCGCAAGACTGTCAGAAGTATTGTCTGTTTTTGTTTATTCCAACATGCCTTCAGCTTTCTCTGTTTATCATAACAACCTTCGCCATATATTTTTGCAGCATCAGTGTTATTTCTTGTTCCTGTGGGGGTGGTCAAGACATTTACGGATTACATAAATTGACGGGGAGGTAAATAGAGAGGAGAATAGCTGTACATTGCAAAAGACTAGTCAGGTGGTCAGAGCAGTTGGCAAATAGAATTCAACCCAGGAAACTGCAAGGTAATACACTCGGGAGGATGAGTATGGTAAGGGATAAGCCTATGTATATTAGGACCCTGAGAAGTAGTGAACATCAGGGGAATCTTGGTGTAGATATCTATAGATCCCAGAAAGTAGCAGAGTAGGCACATAAAGTGTTTAAGAAGGCATACGAGATATTTGCCTTTATTAGCTGAGGCATAGAATACAAGAGCAACGAGGTTATGTTAAAACTATGTAAAATGTTGGAAGTAATGTGTGGGGTTCTGGTCACCACATGATATGAAGGATGTGATTGTACCAGATAGGGCACTGAGGAAGATTTACAAAGATGTTGTCTGGGCTGGAAGGTCTGAGCAATAATAAAAATTTGGAGAGGCTGAGTTTGTTTTCCTTGGAGAATCAAAGGTTGAGAAAGGACCTGAGAGAGATGGATAAGATTATGAGTATAGGATGGATTGGAATGCATTTTCTTCCATCGATAGAGGGGGCTACTAACCAAGGGGCATAGAATAATGTAAGTGGTAGAAGTCTAAGAAGAGAGTTGAAGAGAAACTTTTTTTTTGAGAGTCTGGAACACATTGTCTGAAAGGGCAGTGCAGTCAGCAACTCTCATAACATTTAAGTAGTATTTAGTTATTCACTTGTATTGTGAAAGCCTTCAGGTCTGAGTCAAAATCTATAAAATGGGTTTAGTGTATTCAGATTATGTCAGCTGGTACAGACATGATAGGCGAAATGGCCTCCTGTGGTGTAAAAGTCTTTGAGTCTGTGAGTTAAGATTTTGAAAATTTGAGAAACTCTTACTGAGTGAGAGCACTGTGTACAATGGCAGTGAGTAGGTATGTTGGAGGCTTCACAAAGATACATTACTCCCTGTTTTGAGAGGTTGAGAATGTGCATTATGTAACGTGAAAATTTCTACAGCAATTTGAGTATCCACATCAATAACATGTACGAAAGCTGACTTGGGTAATTAAACACACTATTTCTCATGTAAATGCACACAATACTAAAAATACAATCTTCCAAAATCAGTGAACATAGCAGTGCTCAACAGCGTCCTCCCAAACACATGATCTAATGAAAATTCAGATAATTTGCCTTGCTGTGTCTTCGTTGTGTATTGAAACTCTAACCAGACTGCCACCCCTGTTAATGTTACAACTCCAGATGCATAAGCAAGCTGCTATGGTTGGTGCTAAACTCAGTTATTAAGGCTAATGAAAAGGTATTTGCATCGATTCAGCTGGGTGGCACTTAGCAGCAAAGCGTTCTATACATTAGCATCCTGAGGGCTTTTAACCTCAGAAAATGACTCTGCCTGGAGTTAGAAAGGCCACAAAAATCAATATAATAGATGCAAGCCATTCATAACAGGGAAATCAAACACAGTGCATTGCTGACAGTAATGTGGTCTGTAGACTGCTTGGAATCACTTGCTGTTTCCAGAAACCCTTGTAACCCTGTAGTACAAAGCTCATCTTTCACTGTGAGCCTCTAATGCGCTCATTGAAAGTGTTCGGATCTCTTGTTTGTATGATGATGCTTGGCACCTGTGTTGGGCTTCACTGCCAAGGTGTGCGGCAATAATTACAAGTAAATGCCAACACAGTAGCTTAGCCCTCTGCTTGTAAATTGTGGTCAGCTTTCTTTTGGCTGCTGCAGCAAAGATGATAATCAAACATCCGACCCATCTCAGTAATCATTTTGGGGATGAATAGGGGTAACAAAAGAAAAATAGGTAACGATAGGACTGTGAGAGGGAATATGTTTATTATGGTAACAAAAACCCAACTGGTGCTAAGATTTCCTTCATTATAGTAATGATCTTGAAGCATTTGAAACACGTTAGTTATAATAATGACATTGAATTATTTAAACAGAATTATCCTTTACTTTCAGTCTGTAATAGCAATTTTACTGGAGGTCAGCTGATAATTCAGGTTTGAAGGCCTACTCATTTAACTAGCATGCAACCACTTAACAACTGGAGCTCCTCGAAGAATTATAGAAAACCAGTGGTCTATAATGGCCCAGATTTTGCTGTGAGCAAGGAAGGTTCAGTTTTCACCATTCACCTTGCTTACAGCTGCCCACAGACTATTTGCAGGTTTATTGGCAGTGATTTCCAGTAATCCTGTGCCAATTTGAATTCAGTGTCCTGTGAAGGACATCTCTGTGTTGTCTATGGAAAGGACAAGTAAACAGGCGACTTTTCAACCAATCAAATTAAAGAACCTTCAATGAGACACAATCAGTAAAAAAAAGCAAGGAAAAACCAGGATATATAAATAACATGTAAATCATATTTGAAGAGAAATCGAGATTGATTAATGCACATGGGAATAAGGGAAAGATATGCAAGAGAAAGACAGGAAAATATTTTCAAAATAAAAAAATGCAAAGTTAATTTCTTTATTAGTGCAAAATTATTACATAAATTATATTTTTTTCAGGGTTAGAGATGTTGTTCAGTTGTCCAAAGGTCCACAGAAGAAGAAAGAAGGTTAAGCTCAAAATGGCTATGGTAGAGCCTTACATCAAGTATGGCATCCATTTGGTCCATCATGATTTTTCTGGCTCATTAAAAATGTTATCCTATTAATTCCACACCCAAAATCTAATGCGTGTATCTTTCATGATGACACTCAATATTGGCTGCATGCATGTTGGTTCATTTAACTTTTAATCAGTCTTCAAGTGATTGGCTGTGTCATGCATGCATACTTGTTTAGGGGGAAGGTATATGACTGCAGCACTTGTATATTTAAAAAAAAATGTCATTTCTATCATTGCCAATAACCTCCCCAAACATTGCTGCTTCTACCTTCAAAAG